TCGATCGTCCAAGTTTGTATCGAAAAGTTCGACGAATTGATTCATTTTATTTCGATGAGATCTTACAAAATATTAAAAGAACTTTTATCACTTGGACATGATGATTATAAATTATTGATTAATAAAACAAAACTTATCCGATAATTAATTATTTTAAGAGCAATAATATTTACAAAAAAATAATTAATTAATAATTAAAAAACGATCTCCAATTGTTTTTCATAACTGTTAAAAGATGATGAATTAATTATCATGTAGTTTTATGACAAAATTTTGTTACAATTAATTCACAATATTAATTGAAAATTATTGAAATGTTCATTAAGATAAAATCTATTGTTCATTTATTAAATAAACAAAAAAAAAGTCACGATTACCCACCCGCACAGATATATGTCAAATTAATAATATTAAAAAATATATTTAAATAAATCTATGTGTATGTGTGTAATATACATTAATGAAATTTGAAATTATATCGTTGATTTATTAAATAAATAATAAACAACAAAAGGAATAAAAAAAATATGATTGATAAATGAACTGACATCGATCTGATATCAAAAGATATTTCCTCGTCTTTGAATTTCTCACGGTTTCGAAATTGCTCTGTAAATTTCGCCAGACATCGTGAGATCAAGAGTCGATCGTGACTACCCAGAAGATCTATTTTTCGCCTTATCATCTAGCACGCCTCTCTTTGCTTTCTCTCCTCATTCACAAGGATGATTTTAAACGTTACTAACGCGTTTTAGAAAGACGACAAACATCAAACGCACCGAAATAAAATAAACATAAATAAATCTGGTATATATACGTCACGTTTATGAGCTGTTACATTTACTTGATCAATCAATTGTTAAGCATGTCATCTTCGATCTATGTAACATATATCTAACTTTCTAATTATATTCTTATTTATACACAATTGATAAAACAATGAACTTACAATCCAAGTGCAATGCAAATAAATCAATTACTGCACTCTCCCGAATAACTAACAAAGATCTCTCGAAACCTTTATCAATAACCCTTTCTGTGAATTTGTTTTAGATAAAGAACACAAAAGTTTATTCTAATCTAAAAAGATGATTAGATATATACAAGAAGTATGTAGGTTAGATTACGTCTCGATTAAAATCAATGTTAAAATAATTCGATAAATATAAAATGTTACTTTCCTCGAAAAACTGGGTGATTTAAACGAATCGACTTATGTCAAAACTTTTCGATCCCGACGTCTAAACTGTAAACCTGTCTATCAATCTATCACAAATTCAAACTTTTGAATTGTGGTTTAAAACACCTTGCATAAGATCAAAATATATTTATATACTTGTTGAAAAAAAAAGAGTTCTTTTTCAGGTCGTATGAGAAACAATACAATAACAATGAATCAACTGCTTTCAAATGATTGGATATAACAAGGTTGTCCTTGTTTCGAACGAGTTTATTATAGCAATCGGTACGTGATCGAGGACACGAGTATGTATCGTAAAAAATAATAATAAATGATTAGTGTTTATTATACGAACGAGAGAAGCTTTAAAATTGATTGCTTCTTTTATATCGAGGACGTTTTTATCCTAACTTTCAAACGTTAGATTACATTGTCGTTGTTCTAAATATTCTATAATAATAAAATATAAAATAATAGATAAATTGGAGTAATTGGAGCCTTATTTAACAAATAATGAAACACAAGAGATTTAATATACGATTTCTCTGATCATACATAAATTTTGATGACTATAATAACGATACATATTAATCTAAAAAATTCCTAAATCAAATCTAATTCGTACTAATTTGAGCGTTCAATTGAACTAGTCAAAGCAATCAATAAATCTAGGTAATTCTCTCTAACTAACACTCTAATTGTAAGTATACATATATATATTAATTTGTAATATACTATATTTACATGTTTATTCCAACAAATCTAACTACATTTAGAAAACATCAATCTTCGGATATAGACAATTAATTATATGACAAAAAAATGAAATATAAAAACGTGATAGATGGAAAATATAGATAGTAAACAAAAAGAACATTTACTCAAAGTGAAAGGAAAGATAAATCGATGGAGACAAAAAAAAATATAAATCACCTCGCATTGCTCGCAGGCGACGGTAGCTTCGCGAGGTTCGGCTTCGCACATCTGGCATTGCATTCTTGCATTCTTTGATTCTTGATACTTTTCAACGATACGTTGCATAGCCCTATACTTTGGCAAATTATGAGCACCACCCTCGTCGAAGTATACGGTTTTGCGACATACAGGACAAGATAGACAAAGGGTTCCCCCGGATGGTGGGAAACCACCGTTCCCGGGTGTACCAACGTAACTTCCAGGTCGTGAACTAGTCGATGTACTACCGCAGACGACGCCCGAGTCCGTTTCCGAAAGTATCGACAATTTGTCGGCTTCTTGATCGGAGCAGGGAGCATTTGAAGAGTCTGTCGTAGATTCGGGTGGTGAATCGGGTGGTGCTTGAAGATTAACAGCACACGAGAGACACAAAGCGTGCCAGCAGGGCAACAAAACAGGCTCCGTGAATAGTTCTTTACAACATGGACATCTTAGTTCGTCCTCCATTTTCTTCTGTTTTTATTTTTCTTTTATTTTCTCTTTCAAAGTAATTTGTTTGTCAATCTTTTTTCGAGGCTTTTTTTCCTCAAGTTTACAAATTTATTAATTGTCAGCTTATGACAGTTGGTCGTTAGATATATCGATTTAAAAAAGTGAGTTCAAAGTATAAATTTCGAAGACAGAGAATAAAGATTTTGTTTTTAGTTTGTTTTCTTTTTTGTTCTCTGTTATGAACGGCGTGCCGCTCGGCTACACGCGGAAACGCGCGTCCGTTCGTTCCGTCATCGTTACGACGACGCACTGGCACGGCACTCGAATCTCCTCAAGTTCCACGGATCGCCGTAGGAAAGGTCGAAGGTGACGGTATAGCGCATCAGACTACAGATTTACTTTCCTTCTTACTCTTTGAGATAATTCACTCGCGATCTGCGCGCGCGAATGAAAATTATATCCAAGAGATGAAATTCTATTAATGTTTTTTTTATGGATAAATAAATCGTAATGAAACTTCGAATGATTACTTCTATCTTTATTTTATACTCGTCCTTTTCTTATGTCCTTATCACGAAGACAAATGAACAAGCAAGATAAGAACATTCAAAATGAAAAGACCGTCTTGCCTGGACGCCGGCGGCGGGTTGACTGACTCCGTGCACGAAGTCAAAGGACCGACGCGCAGCCGCGTCCGCGCACGACGCGCATCCCAGTACCGTATTGTACTCATTCGGAACCCTATTCTATTTTCTATCTTCTATCTTCTTTCTCTTTGTTTTTTTTTTCTTATTTACTTTTTTATTTACTCTTCATAAGTATCGTATAACTATATATTTCTTTTGAATTATTTTGTATTAGATTTACGATAATCAAAGTAACGGTTTGTTTTCTTCATTTAAATTTTGTAATACAAATTAATCAGTTACGGTAAAATTATTTATTTCTTTATTTCTTTATACGATCATCGGAATAATCAAACAGTGTTTATTTATAATATTATGTATATTTTCTATGTCTTATTTTCTGTATTTTAATTATTGTTTTAATTGGGCTTTTTGTTAAATTTTTATTTTCTTTTTAACACAGAAATCAAAAAAGTTGTGTCATAAAGAAAATTTGTATTAAATAAATTGAACTATCATTTTGGAGATTGGTAGAACGAGTAATATATTCGAGCTTTTATTCTATAATAGTAATTGCTGAAAGAGACGGAAAAAAGAAGAAAAAGAAAATAAATTAATTGTCAGTAGAGACAAAAATGTTACTAATGGATATCGCGAAATATATCGTCTAATGGTGGCATTCTTCGTTCAATAGATTTAAAATTCTCGATCGGAGAGACATTGCTTTTAAAATGTACTTCCTATACTTAATGATACGATCAACGATGGAAATTGTTTGCCACGTTTATCCCATATGATAAGCTCCACTGATTGTGAGTCGTACGAACGAGTCGTTTCTCCGGAACCTTTCACGTATAAAATCCAGACTCTCTGTCAATAATAAAGTAATATATTTTATAACGAATATACATTAACATACTCTATTTAAAAAACCACCATTTCTTTCATAAATCATAATAATTCGTTAATTCTAATAAATAAATTATCTTATTATTGAAAAAATGTTATATTATTATTATTAAATTTTCTCAATTTCTGCCGGTGATTCTTTTTATGGTATTTACGAGCCGTAATTAAGTTAATGTCATGATGTGAGTATCATATGGTTGACGTGCATATGGATATTCCATCTGTTTATCTGATTTTGTTATTAAGATCTATGAGATGTGATTAATTTCTTTTATTTGCATGAACTTTCTGAGTAAATTATTATAAGTTATATAATAATATTATAAGTTGTTGTTCTTGTTGTTGTTATTATTATTGTTGTTGTTATTATTATTATTGTTGTTGTTATTATTATTCTTGTTGTTGTTATTATTATTCTTGTTGTTGTTATTATTATAATTGTTGTTGTTATTATTATTCTTGTTGTTGTTATTATTATTATTATTATTATTGTTGTTGTTATTATTATTATTGTTGTTATTATTATTATTGTTGCTGTTATTATTATTCTTGTTGTTGTTATTATTATTATTGTTGTTGTTGTTGTTGTTCTTTGTGTTGTACCGTGTTTTAAGACGTACCATACTGAATTGTATTATTATTTATTAGAATAAATTGTTAAAGTTAAAATGCGTGTATCATTATTTAAGAAAAATTATAATTTAATCATTAAACACTTCATTCCAATGTACTCGTGTAAAGAACAGCATTATCCGTCACACATTGCAGTGCCGTATCATTTACACGTAATTCGCACTGAACTCTGCCGTACAGAGAAACAGCCCCATGCAAAATTTAGCCGTGCCTAAGAGGTTAAGTAAAATTTGATTAGTTCTTTATTTTCTTCGATATTATATATTTCTTCGGTGATCAAAGCAATACTTTGACAAAACTTGACTATTGAAATACAATGACAACTTAGTAATAACAAACGCAACATATATATTTGTCTTAGACTACTTTAAATGTGAATGTACTTCGCAAACATTACACTTAAAATTATCAAAAAGTTATCTCTTAATTCTCATAAAATACAACAAAATCTTAAAAGTAGTTCACATTCAATGAATTTTGGTTATTGTTTTCTTTTCTTTTAATAGAAATTGATAATTATAATTCATTTTATCACTGTAATAATATATATATTTAACATCAGGTGTCACACACTTTGCAATTCACTGTGTATGGTTTAGAAAGTATCGCATCGAAAATAGTTAACTCTGTGCATAGCTATACATATACATATACATATCCATATACATATATATATATATATATACATGTGTATATATATATATATATATACGTCACTTATATTTAACATAATTACACGTAGCGAGCAAATATTAATACGATATATCCTTCGATACAATTATCCTCGCATAAAATTGAAGGAACAATTTGAAGAAAATAATTCGACACGAATAGTTTTCATTGCAAAAACTTACGCAATTACACTTTATTATAACTTGAACGATCAGAATAATTATCACTGCATTGAAAAAAAATATGTCTGAGCAGTGAATTTGGTAAATATTCAGAGTTAAGAATTATGTAATATTTTGTTGAAAGCATTGTAAGATGTTTCTAGATCAAAAATAAGTTGTCTCACTTGTGTATCTGATAATTCATCTGAAGCTGACATATTATTTAATGTTTGTAACCATTCGGTAACCTTTTCTTTTCCATCAAAGTCGCTGGGTAATATACTTAGACGATTCATAGTATCCATTAGATCCCTTAAATCTGGATGTAATTGATCCATTGCTTTGATTTCTAGTCGTAGTTTATCCATCAAAGTAATGAACAAAGAAACAATATCTGCAATACACTTAGAAGTATTTCCCTTGTCATCTTTGATCGTAATAGGTCGATCTTCTTTAATCCTTTCCAAAGCAGCTGGACAGTCCAACCGAAATGCTCTTGCAAATACATCTATTGTAGGAAATTGTTCGCTTTGTACCTAACATAAGATATTCATATGAGATAATATTAATGATAAATAATAACGTTGGTCTATAAAAATCATATCAGAACACATACCTGCTTAAATGCTGCCCTATATTGAACTAACAATTTACTGCATGCTGCTGTATACTCTTTCGGTGTAACACAATCTCTGATATAAGCCTTTTCCAAGTGTTGCAAAGTATTAACTACTGCATAGAGATCGGCTTGATTATCATACTTTTCTCTTTCTCTGGCATTTTTGTATAATTTCACTTCTTCATATAACTCGGGACGATCTTGAGCTATAGACATAATTCTCTATGGAATAATAAAAGAATGAAATTCTATTGAGAAAAAAACAAAACATTAGAGGTTAGGTAGGCAAATGGATATAAGAAATACTTAACATATGTTAGACTTTATAGATAATAAAATTAAGAGTCGATTCTAGCAATTGTATAAGACAATATTGATTATCTTTGTAATTTTCTTATCATTACAGTCATATCAAATATATGACGCATCAATCTCATAACATTGGTATAACATATAAAATAAGATAAATTAAACAAAAGAAAAATTATAGTTATATACAATATACCTAAATAAACTTTTATATCGTAAAAGATAGCGTCAAATTTAGATAATTGTATCAAAATAAGCAATAACTTGTTATTAATCTAATGGACACATAATACACAAAAAACTTCTATAATGTATAGACACTAATGCTATCTACCGAGCAAGCCATAAAATAAGATGAATTCTATATCACCCTAGCACGTTTCAATTAATTTGAAATTAATTATTGTGTAAAAACAATTTTCTATTTGTCGTTATCGGGTAAGGAAAAAATTTAGAAATATAATAATAAAATAAAATCAATAAAAATTTATTTTTTAAAATATACAAATGTATTTGAAAATATATGTCAAGAAAATATAATAAAAAATATATATAATTAGCTATTGCAGCATGTAAAAATCATATTACAAACAATTTGTTAAAATCTATGATATATACTATAATACTATTGTACATTGTAATATAAGAATTGCAATCTAAATTCATAATTTTGCTTTTCTTCTTTTACGAATACCAATTTAACTAATAATGACTCTTCTTTGCTCATTCGAGATTATTTTAATATAAATTATGTTCAATACTGATTGTAATTTATCCATTATATCCTATGGTGGATAAATCTCTACCATGCTTCCCATTTTTATTGCAATTTTATTTACAATATTAAGTTTTTCTTGATTATTACTATTATTATTAAATTTAAAAACATTATTTTGTTTAAAAATTATATATTTCTGTCATCACATCAATTCTTTTATCGTTTGATCTTTCTTTGCAAGAAGAAATTATTTTTTTCGCTTCTAAACATAAACAATGAGATTCTTCTATGAGTACTTTTTCTGTTTTTCTTTCAGGAATGTTAATTTGATTAAGAATGGCTTTTCGTTGCTCATTCGAAACCATTTTAATATAAGTTATGTTTAATACTAATTTAGATTTATCTATTATATCCCATGGTGGATAAATTTTCACAACGCTTTCTAATTTCATTTCAATTTTACCTACGATATCAGGTACAATAACCATAGTAATATTTTTATATGATGATTTACCTACATTCGAATTTTCTTGATTGTCATTATTATTTAAAAGATCAAAAGAATCATTTAAGACAATTCCTTCTAAAAATTGTCTATGCAAATGCGTTGTACACTTATCCACATATACATCTACATGTGGGATCAAGGTACCATCGATATCTGCTTGCTTTATTTGATGCAGCCATATACGAACAAAAGATGTTTGCCTATTTACTAATGATTGCAATTTTGCTGTTAAACTTTTCCTAAATAAAAAATACAATTACGTGTATATATATATATATTAGTATATAAATATTGGTATGTAGCAAAATATTTATAAGCTATTAAAAATATTTACTTTTTGATTCTACGCCTTTTCTTGCAAGAATCTAATATTTGTAAAGACATTGCAGGACAACTACTTGTCTTCGCTGGAGATGTAGCAGTACTTATAAAACAATTTGTTTGACTTGATTTATTATCTACGCTTTCATTAGAAGAGGTAGTTACCTGTGATATTTTCTCTAATGCATGATCATTTTGAAACACAGATGATTCCGATTTGATTGATTCTGCTTTAGAATAGAATGTTTCATCAAAATCTTTTAAAGATGCATTAGCCCATCTAGTTTTGATCTTATAGGGATATGTACTCTTATTAAATTCTGTTTTAGAATATATCTCATCTGAATCTTTGGTAGATGCAACATAACCTTTGTCTATGACTTCACATGAAGTTTTGAGTACTGTATTAGACCCAGCAATAGAGTTATTTGCTAAAGAAATCATATCCTTACTATTTTCGGTATCTTCTATCAAAATGCTTAGTATTTCATCATCATCGCTTTTAAAATCTGTAATTTCTGTTTGATCTATAGTATTACTATCATCACTAGAAATTGACTCAATCACAGAAGTATTTTTTTCTATGGTATTATTCTTAATAATTATATTATCCTCTATCACAGATAAGTTCGAGAAAGTAGAAACAACCATATTCTTTGGTACATAAATTGCCTTATCTTTCTCATCTTTCAAATAGTCTATTTTTCTCTGTTCAGCAGCAGACATAGAAAATTCAGGACTTCGAGAATTAAAATTATGCCATGTGCTAAACGTATTCTTATCTATGGAACTATTCTTAATACTTATATTATCCTCTATCATAGCAGAGTTTGAGGAAGTAGGAACCATTATGTTTTCTGATGGATAAAATTCTTCATCTTGATTATCTTTATTGCCATCTATTTCTCTTTGTCTTGCAGCAGACGTGGAAATTTCAGAACACCGATCTTTTAAATAATGACACGTCGTATTAGGAAATTGTACGTCCATATTTCTATTACTATAGTTATCAGTCTCAATTATAGCAGTATTTACATTATCCTTTTGAACATTCTTTGTAAAGAATCGTTCATGTCTCCTTTTGTAATAGTATGCATCTCTAACTAATACAGGAGATTTGTTCACAATCACATTTGGTGAACTATTGTGTCCAGAATTATTTACAAAAGTATTCTTACTTACATTAATATGATCATCTGTATGTAACTTGATTTTTTTATTTTCAGTGGAAGAATCTGATCTTTCTAAATTCATTCGTTTCAGGCTAGTAAGATCTGGCCACAATCCTACATGAAATTTGTCGAGAGGATTATATCCTATATCTACTAGTTCATTATTCTCGTATTTATAAATAGTAGAAACAGATGGTTGCAGTAATGGTTTGGATGTAGATGCACTCGGTATAGATTCTTGAATTGGTTGAATATGTTCTTTACTGGATAAACCATCATCCTCGTGGAATTCAACCCAGTTACGTACAAGAGCATCTTTTGTTGTTCTAGGTATTCCTTCCACTTTTTCATCAATTATAAATTTATTTGCATCAGGTCCTTCCGATCTATCAGTGGTACTTAAATTTAGAATAGTTTCACCAAAATTTAACCTCCTAACGTGTTTTGGTTTCTGACTATGTACCGGCATATTTTCTATTTCTTTATTATTAAAACTTGACATTGCAATAAAGAATGTATGATTTGAATACAAAAATATATTGTGTATATAGATATATATTTAATATATATATATATATATATATATTTATATTTATAGATGTGGACAAAATTATTTACACTACAAACTATACAATACAATGGACGTCGCCATGTGTGATTTCTGTAATTTCATGGTTACCAACCAAAGAAAATGAAATCATAAAATTATATCGATATTATTTTCACATAATATATGATATTCAAAAGGCACGTCAAATCTGCAAAAATGTACATAAATGACTCAAAATAAGATAACTGTGAATAAATAAAAAGATTTTAAATTACAAAAAATATTTTAATTTTGGGATGCATCTCGTAAATCTGGTGAAAAATTTTATGTAAATGCACCTTAATCGATTGACATTTTAGCGGGAAAATCGAAATTTTATAAAATATGATTTCGATTTTACTTTTTTCTAAATTTTTATTTATCGTCGTAAAAACAAACAGAAAACATTTTATCTTAAACTACTATAAATCAAATAAATAGTATAAAAAATATGGATATTGCAAAAATATTGAAATCTCTCGTGTAATTTAAAAATTAATAAAAGACTTATAAAAAACCGATGTTTATTATTATTTGTTAAGAGTACATTTATTTTTTCTGATATTCTTTAAATAACTTTTCTACATAACTATATACATATAACCATCCAATATTCGAGAGAATCGTAGAATATAACTCAAATGACTGGATAGAATTTCAATTCTAAATAACCATTGCATTGAGTAAATATTGCATCCGAAGTTTAAAATCTGAAGCATAAGCCTAATGCTTTTTCAATAATTCGAAATAAACGATATAAAAATTATTAAAATATAATAATAATAATAATAATAATAATAATAATAATAATAATAATAATAATAATGTGTGTGTATGTGTGTGTGTGATAAAGAAAGAAAGAGAAAAGTGCGAAATTTTAATAAAACATGAACATGTGTCAAAATGTATTAAAATCACACATGTATCGAATTTTCAATAACTATTAATTATCAATGAAATGTAATAAATAAATTATTTAACTAATATGAAGAATTCAATGAGTACGCTGATTACAATAATTTATGATGTACAATTATAATTTATTTGAATTAAAATCAGAAACAATTAAAATCATAATTTATGTCTAGCAAATTATTATAACAATCAATTTCCAAATAAATAAGATTTATGAATAATTAGCAATTAAAGGTACATATAATCAAATTTCTAAAGAGGAGGTATTTATCATAACAACAGGGAAGATTGGTCTCATAATTGATAATATTTTCTTCTACTTTCCTACACATCTTTAAATTGTCTTGTGTCTTCGTGTTTGCTTGATAGAAAGCGAAAGAGGAAAGGTAGGAGGAAGGTCAGAGAGTAACAACGGCGTGGTAAAGTGATTGTAAGTAGAGTGGAAGAGACCTTCAGTCAGTCGAAAGCTGGCAAGAAAGGATGGTCGAAGGTAAGAAGAAGAAGAAGAAGAGTAAGAGTAAAAGAAACAAGAAGATATCAGGAATATTGGTCATTTGACAAACAAAGAAAGAGAAAGAGAGAAAGAGAGAAAGAGAGAGAGAGAGAGAGAGAAAGAAAGAAAGAAAGAAAGAAAGAGAGAGAAAGAAAGAGAGAGAGTGGTTACTACGAGGTACGTTCGTGGTGAGATACGAGAAAGGGTTCCAAGCCCGGCGTGGAAATCTAAATCGGCGAGAGTACTCCGTACTCGGCTTGCCGCACAATTACCGGGCGGCGAGTGTCGAGGAACCCCCTTTTATATTAATAGTTGAGATAGTCGAGCGTGTCGGTGCGATGAGGGCCAACCAAAGAGGGAAGAGAGAGAGAGAGAGAGAGAGAGAGAGAGAGAGAGAGAGAGAGAGAGAGAGAGAGAGTGAAAGAGAGTGAGAGTAAGAGAGAGCTAGGAGGGTAAGAGGGAGGAGAGGATGTGTCGATGGCGAGGAACGAAAAGGAGAGGGAGAACGAAGAAAAGAGAAGGAGGACACACTATCGTGAGTCACGAAGAAGAGAGAGAGAGAGAGAGGGTACGAGAGGGGGCCTCGAAATGATAGATAGGAGGACGGGATACCGCGGACCCCTTGCAACACCGTTGCTTCAGTTTCAGTTCGCGATGGAGGCTACTTGCTCCTTTTAGCTGGTACCACTGTGACTCTTCTGTTCACGAAGAGAAAGAAAGAGAAACAGAAAGAAAGAGAGAGAGAGAGAGAGAGAGAGAGAGAAAAAGAGAAGAGGGTAAAAGTTATTACTAGAGGGTGGTTAGTACCATGTGAATGAGATAAAGTAAACGCGTTTGAGAAGAAGATATATATGTAGGAGTACGGTGGCGCGAATTAGTTTCGAAGATTTCTCAAAGGGTTGCCTTCGTTAAGGGGTAAGAATAGTGGTTCTTAAGAGAATTGTTGAATGTAAAAAAGAAAGAAAGAGGCCTAGACCAATAGGTTGAGACAAAACACGGAGGTAGCCGGATGTTGGACGGTGCAGTGATTCGATTGATTCGTTGAAGAGTGTTCGTGGCTTCCACCGAACTTCCGAGTGCCGCGTTAAATGCGTGCTCGTACGGGCGTACGTGTGACTTGTCCTATGGTAGCGCCGGTCGTACAACATACCGTGATAGCTTTGGCTAGCATCGTGTGCGACCACACGCCGAGAAAGCTCCTCCTGGTGGAGAAGGACCACGAGAAATAAAGAGAGAGACAAAGAGAGAAGAGAAAGAAGAGAGAGAAGAGATAGAGAGAGAGAAAGACCAAAGGTGGTAGTGGTTTAGTGGTGGTTGATGGTCGTGGTGGTCTTTCAAGACGCGAAGAAGGTATTGAAAAATAAATTCCCTTTTTTTTCTCTCTTAATATTTTAAAATGCTTCAAATACTTCCTCCTTACACGACAAACAAATTTTGATAAAGCATAGAGATATACAAAATGTATATATCCAATAACTTCGTTAAAGTTTCTTTTATTTCATTAATTATGTTCATTGATTATAGCTTGAAATAAAATACCGTATTACCGTAAAGAATAATCATTAAGAAAAATATCGTAAGATTATATATAATATATTTGCAAGAGATTAGTATTTTTCTTCCACATTAGAAAACACAATTTCTCATAAAAAGAAAAAATATCTAGATGAGCTGTGTGATAGCAACGAGTAAAGGAGAATAAAAGAAAGCGAGAAGAAGTTTAACGGAGAAACTGCAAACGAAACGAATAAAAAAAGGGAGAGAAAGAGAAAGAAAAGCTGAAGGCGTGCGAAGTGGGATGACATTGTTTGCACCCGTGACGTCACTCGTAATTCTAACGAACAATGAGAGTGCACGCGTGCATGAACGCATATTCGCGTTGCCGCGACCCGGAGTTTAGGGTTACTCCTCTTCGAATGAGGATGGTCAAGATTGCTTCTACATTTCTTAGATGAAAACAACAATAAGCATTTCATTAGCTCTTTTCTTTGAAACCTTTTATTTTTTCAAGATAAGATTTTCGTTGATATTTCTGAGAAGTTTAGTTAATGATTTAAAAAACCAATGACAAAATTCTTTTGTTCAAAAACATATCAATATTAGATACATTCGATGCTTTTTTGAATTTGTCTATTCATTGCAAAACGATGCATATTAAATTACAATGATAAATGTTTCTCTATCTAATAAATTAATCTTGTCTTCGTTCGTGTTAAAGATAACAATATTTGTGATAAAAAGATATAGTATCATGTAGAAGTATATTATGTAGCAGGTAGCAACGTGTAAATGTCGAACCATTTCTACAATTTCCACAAGCTATTACTAATAATAATAATATATATATTTAAACGCGAGTGTCTAGAGCCAACGACAGTCTCATTGCAACTACGACGCTGTACAGATACATTTTGTCTGTGTGAAAAGGTATTTTTTGTAATTAAAATTGATTAGTGAAGAATATATGTAATCAAGATAATCACCTGACGACCACAACAAAGTCAAGAGATATATGACAATAAGATCAGTTACTTTTATTTACTACTACATTCTGTACTATACGGAAGTGCAGTTAGAGCCAACAATAGTTTTATTTTGATCATGTCAAGTGGGCGTCACATACGAATACATACCGCGCGAGCGCAAATAAATTGTGTATATATGTACATTAAGTATCCTTTATTTATTCTTTCAATCGAATTAAATAAGAAATATTGAATAAAATTTCATTTAATTTCTATCTATCTTATATATATGTATAACACATGTGTACGTATTTCACATGCATTTTTATTGTAAAAATTCTTCAGCAATTATCGAGTACTTTTTTGAATAGATAGATATAAAAAGAAAACAAAATTATCTCTTTTAATTATGCCTCTTCATTTATCGTTTTATGATTTTCTATAAAAAGCATATTTCTTTTTTTTTATTATGTGCCTTCTCGTTGTTATTTGCTTATTGTATCGTCTTTTGAACTTATTACGAGATACGAATTGTTTACATTTCTTATCATAATAATCTAATGAAAAGTTATAAATGAATAACAGATATTATATTAATTTGGATCTGGTCGTTGATGCTGATACAAATTTCACTCGAATAAATCTATTCGAAACAAAGAGATTAATAAAAAAAATATGGAAATAACGTGATAAACCATATTCTTCATATTGCTTTAATTATTATCGATATCGAGATAAGTTATATCAAATAATTCTAAATTACTAATTATAGGATGTATTACTTGAACTTTGTTCATTACCATTATTCATTTTTAAATCAAATATCTATATCTACATCTGTTACTATCTAGTGATTAATTTACAATGATTTAAGTGATTAAAAAAAAGCATTCTTATTTAATAGATATGATAATTTTAGATTTTAGACAAAATATTAACAAAATAATTTTTTTCTTTAAAATATAGATATTAGCAGTTACGTTTATATTTATCCAATAGACAGAGCATAATATATATTTGTTGACGCATTGATATCATTCGGAGATATGAATATGTCAATAATTACGACAGAATAATTGCACGATCGTTCGTTCCTAATTGGCTAATGTTTTTTTTTCCACGTTAACCATGTTCTTATTATTAGTGCGCGACTTTGACATAAAACAACGAACAAAACTTATAGCTAAACGTCTAAATCATCGGCAATATCGTGACAGTCTTAATTTAGAGTCTACCAGCAAGGAATCCTCTTTTTCTTCTATCTTTCTGTGTCATTCATGCATATACACGAATACATACATACATATACATATGCACACGAATTCACCAATGGATCGAGTCGTATCCCTCTCGCTATGCACTTTTCAGTCTCTCACTGCAATCCTACGAGCACTTGCATTTTATCTTTTGTGTTTTTATTTTTATTTTTCCTTGACTTTCTTTTCGATTCTTTCTCTCTCTCTCTCTCTCTCTCTCTCTTTCTCTCTCTCTCTCTCTCTCTCTTTCTCTCTTTTTCTTTTTTTTTTTCTTTTTTAATTCTCAACCGAGATTGTCAAGAAATTAAAAATAAAAGCAAATTATGCGTAATAAAATTTTATAATCTTCGATTAAATGAATTGTTTTTCAAAAATAATAGTTTTATTAATTTAATACACCGATATTTGGAGTCTTTTAAAAGACAACGTTAAAAGATTCTTCGAGAGATGTTCTCCCATTGCGAGTTCACGAATCTCTGCAAATAAGAAATATTTTTCTAATGATTATATCTTTTCTAATTGATATAAACGAATAAAGATGTATGTTTTATTAAGTAAATATATTACTTTCAATCGATGTTTTCTGTTTGTTGCAATGATAAACAAATGGAATATAAGAATAAAAATGTAAATAATTGCATACCTTCTCTTTTATATATATATTAATAAGTGTATCAGAATAAAGATAATATAATTTATAAATTCGATATAATAGGAAAGTAAGAGAGACCGTCGAAAATTAGACGGAAGTTCGTTCACTTTGATTTGATTTTATGCATTTGGCACAGTCGACTAGCAAATTATACGATTTGCTACGATTCCCTCCTTTGTAAGGATATTTCGTAAATTTCAATGAGACATTAGCTGAAAAAAATTCAAATTACATTTTAATATTTAATTTTAGATAGAGGAAACATTTATATAATAATAATATAATTAATTATAATAAAGATACAATTTTAATTCAAAATAATGAAAAAAGTACTACCTATTAAACGAAAACACATATATTGAAATATTAAGATAAGAATAATTAATCAATGAATTATTTTTTTATTCCAATCTATCTAAGTTATCGAAGCTTTCTCCTTTTGCTACTTATCGATGATCATTAAATTCATTACGATCGGAGATATTGTGCCGGCAAATAATATTTGCGAAGCGGACGAACAGATAGGAGCCATTTAAACGAATGATAAGGGGAGGGTTATATTATCACTTCGCAGTACCCGGCCACGGTTTCGCAACGCTTCGTTCTTTTTTTCTCTCTCTCTCTCTCCCTTTCTTTTTCTTTCTTCTCTCTCACTCTTTCGTTCTTGAAAAATAAACGAATAAATTAAAATGTTGGTTAAACAATTAGAAAATTGTGTCCCTTAACAAAAAAATATATAGGTATATAATAAAAAAAAGAGACCATAAATTCATAAATATTCCGTCTTATATATTTTTCATTGAAATGCAACATAATTCTTTCCAAATATATTTATAAATATATGTGTGTGCGCGTATTTGTGTAAATCAAAGATAAATTAAAATTACTTTTTACTAAATGTTGTGATCATTAAAAGAAAAGGACAATTATTGTATCACCTGTTGCCCCTTTCGATTATCCTTAATAGTAATCATAGCTCATATTAAAATCGTCCACGCGACGCACACGCGAGTCGAGTTTTAAATAAAAAAAACATGACAAGGCGTAGAGGTTTTTACATAGATATAAATATGTATTTACATAAGAGGAATGTGAATCACGCACGAGAAACGTTTCTAATTTGTGAGACATTCGCATGCGTTTACGATTAATATTTACGAGCGGTAACTCGGTCTTAGCTGTGTGTATTTTTCTTGTTTTTTCGTTTTTGATTGATAAATAAGATCGTTTTCCATTACATTAGATTACAATGGATAATAAAGAGTTATTTTCCGAGTAAAGTATTTACTATCAATTACTTTTTACGTTTACTTTCGTTTAATCATTTTATTTGGGTAACGCGTAAAAATTTTATACGATTTATCTTTCGTTTTATCTAATGTAATGCTCGAGATGGAATGAAAGTAAAATATTTATTGCATAACATAATATTAGAAACGCATGTTTAAATATAAGAACTAGCCTCGATAATAATTAGATACTTTATATATTTCTAATTTAATTACAAAATAATAGTTCTTTCTTTTTCCATTTAAAAAAATATAAACCCATTTTTCAAAAAGAACTTCTTAATTAAAAAGTTTTTAAATTCTTAATTAACTTAATTTATTATTCTTACGATCTCCTCATTTATCTGACATTAATATGAAATGCTTATAATAAAAAGCGAGAAAGAAATATTAGATAGATAGAGAGTGAGAGGGAGAAAAAAAGAAGGAGAGGTGATCTGAGGGTTATAAGAATCGTAGAGAAGTAGGTTTATATAGTTCCTCTGATCAGTCGGTTGAATGATCAAAGAAACGAAAAGGGCGATTTGTTTTCAGAAAAGCGGAAGAGCAGTGGACGGACCTTGCTTACGTTAAATCTGAAGAACGAAGAGGAGAAGGAAGAGGAGAAGGAAGAGGTGGTGGGGTGGTTGTGGTGGTGGTGGTGGGTGTCGGCAGCCACCGAGACAACGTCATCGAAGATGATGCACGAGAGGATCAGAAGAGTGTCGGTCTTCTCCGGTAATGGTTGATTAATAGAAGCTTCTCATGTATTAAAAGAAATGCACGTGTTTGATCATAGTGCGAACAGGACAGTTCGGTTCCTGACAGTTCGGCACCAATCGGAAATCGACTTAATCTTATTTCGAGCTCCTTAGCGCATGCGCATGTGCGCTTTTCGATCCTTCTCTCTCAAGTTATTTTTCGTATAATTTATATATCTATACATACATATCTTTGAATCTATTTGACACGTGGAAGTGGTGCAACAACGACAACGACGACGAAGAAGAGGAAAAGGAAGAGGAAGAAAAGGAAGAAGAAGAAGAGGAAGAAGAAGAGGAAGAAGAAGAAGAGGAAGAAGAAGAAGGAGAAGAAGAAGAGGAAGAAGAAAAAGAAGAAGAAGAAAAACGAGGACGACCTCGACAGACGACACTTTGATTCACCAAGCATAAAGCTCAGCCAGCCGCGAATTAAACGTCGCAAAATATCGCAAGTAAGAAAAAGCAAAAGTGACCGAAGTTACTTACTTCCTTTCTCCTAATTAAAGTAGTCGGTGAGTTAACATTGGAATTAGAATTAACGTGATTTTGTTTAGTTTTCTTTTTTTTTTTTTTAATTTATGAACGTGAAGTGTATTATCACATCAGATACGGAACCATATCTCGTTGTTAAGCGACAATTTAGAAAGGGACTAATTTTAAATTTTATGAATTTCAATCGTTTACGTAATGTTCGGTTTGATGTTACCTGTTGAGATTATTATCATGGTGGTTATTATCGATAAGAAAAAGTAAGAGAAAAGATATTAGATTATGAAAGAATGAGCATCGATCAACATTTGTTCTTAGATCGTTGTCTCAAAGCAAAAAGTAAAAGAAGAAGAAGAAAGTATATACGTTCGTTCTCGTCTCGTAGAAGGGTGTCTTGAAAGTAGACGAGGCCGAGCACTGATCAGACGCGATAGCAAACACCGTTCGAAGCTTCCCACTTTTAGGTTTGTTCTTTTTGAAAAAGAGTAGGAAAAGTTGGATTTTTTTTATTTGTGTTCGACATGAGAGATAAAAGGCAAGAGATATTTCGAAGGAACTTCAAGTTTTTTCTTAATTCGAGGGGTACGCTCGATTCTTTGATAACGAGTGCTTTAGAAAAAAGTTGAAAAAGTGTTTCCTTCTCCCAAAAGAGAAGAAATTAAAGGGAGAGAGAGAGAGAGAGAAATAGAAGAAAAGAAAAAGAAAGAAATTAGTTCGAAATCGTGTGGCCATCTTCGATGTGAGGATGAGCTACGGCGGTCATGCCGTGTAATTCGAAGGGACACCACGTGAATCACGTCTCATCGTGCCGAACTATCCTAGTCGTTATCCTCGTCGTCGTCGTTGTCACCGTCACACTGACGCCGTTGAAGCGCGACGGAGTGCTAGCAGCGTTAAAAAGATGAGCTCGATCGACTTCGATGAGGTGCTTCTACATGTGGGAGAGAAGGGCCGATATCAAAACATCATGTATTATCTTCTATGTATACCTGCAACCCTTCCGGCTGCGTTTCTGGCCTTCTCTCAGGTAAGTACCTTTACTTTTTTTTTATTTTATATTAATAATTTTTTTTTATTAATCGATCAATTCCTAAATTCTATTACTTCGATGATACTTCTTCATTTGATAGATAAAATTTGTTATATTAATTTTTCTATTTTTTTTTTCTCCATACGCGAACGTAAACTTTGAATATCTTTTTTTTTTTTTTTCAAATACCAAGTACATTTATTTTAAATCAAAATAAAAAATCCTGATAATCATACAAATATGATGTACGAATTGTGTAAATCATATTTTCTTATACTTCATTTATATTTTAAAATTTTTGTTATATTATACGAAATGAAAATAGAAACGTTTATTAATCAATGATAATTTATTTTATTTTTTTCATTTAACTCCGATCGATTTTACGTCATCGAACAATATTTGCCGTCAATCAACCCAACCGTTAATACCCTTGATAATATTAGTTAGTTTACGTAAGCGATTTTAAATATCCTACGTTGAAGGAAATATTTTCAAAATAAATATAATTCGATATACATATAGAATAGATCATATCGAACACGTGCGACTACGTATCGTGTATTAGATGGTATATAACGAGTAGTTCTTTTTTTTTAATTTTTATAATTAGTTTCCTGCAGTTAGCTAGTTATCCTCCAATTTCAGTAAAAATCTTGTTATATTAATCTTGGAATATAAACTGATAGCAATTAAAAAAATATGTATAGAGGAAAATATAGTGATTACCACGCCCGTTATGAATCACGCTTTTGTTTGCATTACATTAATTTTACTTTTATCCTCAATATCGTTTGCAGATTTCTTCGTACGCCGATTAATTTTTCATTAATTCTACTGATATTTTTTGTCAGATAACAGTATTATGCAGAATATTTTAATGTCTGCATTCCATTCGATAAATATTCAATTACATTACCTCATTAAATAAAACGAACATTTTATTCGTATTATCGCGATGAAAATCTTCAGATATTTTTCAAACAATTCTCTTCCTTAGTTAGCTCGTCTTTTTCGAGCATAATAAATAATGAATAAAAAACAATGAAAAGAAAAAAAAATAACTCGCAGACGTGAATAGCCTTTTTCCAATAATCGTCACTCACGCGCAAATCTCGTTTCTCGAGAAACGAATTAGAATTAGCATCGTCTCATCGATGTTTATGATCTTTGAAACCTGCCGACGAATGTTAATATTCCGTTTTAGATAGTAGCAATATTTATTTATGCAGCTGCATTGGAAGTTGCATCCTTTCAAAGAACTTCATTGATCAGTCACATATCGGAACTAAGATAGATTATCGTGGGTATCGTTAAATAAACAATTCTATATGTAAAATTTGACTATCTATTTCTTGAAAAGTTTTTACCTCCTTTGATTTAGCAAAGATCAAAGATTTACCCAGGAAAATCCTAAATGACAATATATGCAGGATATATACAGGCAATTGCAACATGGAACGTGTAAACAGATTATTTTTAGTAGTATAAGATATGAATAAAATTGTTTTTTAAATTTATATAATATTTTTAAAAGATTATAATTAAAAATAATAATTAACGATTGAAGTGTTAATGATTGGAATTATTTGAAAAAATAACATCGTTTAATAGTATTAGAAAAGTCTGAAATATTTCTAAATAGGTGTTCGTGAGTGCCTCGCCAGAACACTGGTGCAGAATACCAGAATTGGAAAATTTGACGGGGTTGATGACCTTGGAAGAGAAGAAGGCTCTTTCTTTGCCATACTCCATAAAAGCGGACGATAGGAGAGTTTATTCGAGATGTCAGATGTACGACGTCAATTATACAGAGATTATCGAATCGTGGTTGCAACGTGGAATATCACAAAATTCTAACAACACGATAAATTCGCATTCGACCACGTCGCTTTCCTCGACATCTTCGTATCATTCCACGAATCAATTACCGCCACCTCCTGTCAGTAGTCCTGATTGGCCAGTCAGCAAATGCCAACACGGTTGGATTTATGATAACAAGGATTATGACAGCACCCTTGTCACAGAGGTAAACTCGACTTTCTCTCTTTCATTAGATATTTCATCTTTTCATTAGATATATTCATTTTCTTTTCATTAGATTTTCCTCTTTTCATTAGATATATTTTATCATTTTATAGAATACACATTTTTCAACAAAATTTACATAATCGGAGTGTGAATAAGTTTCCTCGGAAATTTTCAGTAAGTAGCTTTTCCTTTCCAGGTAACATTTATCTTCTGAGTAAGCGTAATACTAAGTAATCTCGATTAACGACCACTAACGAGGTAATCCGAAGAATAATTTATTAATTAAGTAGTCAACCCTTTTAACTTATGGTCATTGGACCATTCATTATTAAATAATTGTCGTTATATTTTATGAAGGTACATCATGGTAAATATGAAATTGTGAGATGGAGTTGGTTGACTGCTTCTTTCTTACTCGGTTTCTCGTCGTTGTTCAGTCATGCTATTTGCATAATCCTCCTACTACGTCTTAGTAATTGTCAACGTCAAATTTCATCTTCGTGGAGCATCGGGTTTCACGACCTACTTTGCCTTGGCCTTTGCCTGCGTTGTATTCTATTTTTTTTGTGAACATCGTGTTTTTTAATTTCAAGTATCCATAAGTGTCCATCGAACAAATTATTTTGTTTTCGCTCAATTGACTGAATATTAAAGAAATTAATTAATAATTAATAGAGTGTACCATCGTGGTACGTATAAAATGTGTGCTTGTTAGAAAAACATTTTCATTATCCTTTACTTAACTTCACAAGACAGAAACAAACGACGAATTATGAAATTAATGCGAATTTGTAAAATTAATTGAAGGTTTCGTTTATCTTCAACGAGATAATTCTAAATGAAAACTAAGAATAAAAAGAGAATATATACATGAGTTTGTTTTGGTGGTTCTCATATATCCTGCATTTAAATATGTAGATACATTTTGAGAAATTCTTTGTTTAGGAAAAGTTTGTGGTCACATGGCGACGTCTTGTAAGTGTCTATTAAAGCGGTTATTAAATTGTCGCAATTAGACAACACACGGTGACTACGAGCTATTAGCGCAACGAGAAACATAACTCGCCGGGTCGAGGATCTACGACTGTTCTCCTTTTCTCTCTCTTTCTTTCTTTCGTTTCTTTTTGCTATGCAATCGCCAAAGCTCGTGATATAGAAACATATTCTAAATTTCAAGTCGGAATTAATTATTTCAAGTGTATCATCTTCGTACTCGGACGTTTAAAAATACACATTAAATTGACGAAAACATTGTTGCACATATCATTCGAATTAATATATTTTCTCTTATTCTTACAATACGTTTATACAAAATTCTTACAAGAATCAATATAATAATATAATTATCGATATATGTGTGCTATTTAATAAATAATTACTTAGCAAAATTTAACGTATTATTGATCGATCACGAGTATGCTCGCGTTTGCACAATATAACCAAATTATGTAATTATTGAAATATTCAATTTTATAAGTTGTTACTATAATATAATTTATTGTGTTTCATGATTTTTACTTTCCACTTTGATATTCCAATTTGATTATTCTAGAATTTCTATTATTTTCATTTAATTTTTAATATGAAACATATTAGGTTCTTGCATATAATAGCTAATCAACAATATATTAAAAGTATCTTAATGATTTCAATAATAGCTTTTAAAAACATATGTCACCAAATTGTAACGAGACTGCAAAAGAGGAATGAATAGAAATATCAAAATAATCAGATTGATGTAAAACAAAATGGATGGTCAATGACATCCATCAACACACAAATGGTTCTTAAAAGAAACAAACGTGAGTTAGCTTACATCGAAGATGGAGTTTCTCGTGGATGATAGTTATGAGTTATACTCGATGTAGAAAATTTCTGAAGAAAAATGAAAGAGAGATAGAGAAAGAGAAAGAATGTCAACAGGTGAACAAGGTTGATGAGCAACAGAGTGACTGGCCGATAGGTTGCAGCTCTGGTGGCGTCAGCAATTGCCGACCAATTTACCTACCCCCGCATCCGGTCATGTGATATGTAACATCAAACGCCTCGCACAACGCTGCTTACTACTCTCTGCATATGTCGAGGGTATATGTCCCCACATATTTCAGGCGATACTGTTTTGCCATAGTAGCCAGACTGCTAGACGCCAATTTTAAACTTTCCTTATTCCTTTTCGTAGAGATAACATTAGATTTTGTTAGAATCTTACACATTCGCCTTAGAGATATTTTCGATTAAAATTATTTTTATAAACTATTTCTCTATTGCAATCGAATAGATGAGAAAAATACTAATCCTTATTGATAACGCGGATTAGGAAGATAGAGGGAGGGATGGAGATCGGGTAGAGGGAGGGAGGTCGGTCTTACAAATTATTTATCTAATAATAATAATAATAATAATAATATACTTTATATTAATAAAAAAAAAGATCCTTGAAAAAAGCTTATAATATTTCAATTTGGTTATTAAACGTATACGTGTTTTCTTGTTATGTTTAATAAACAAAGATTAAAGAAGAACTATCAATATTCTGTTATGTAGATCAAGTACCCGCGATGGTGAATGAAATTCGACAGAACGTTGTTTTTTTCCTTTCTTTCTTTTTTTAAATGAATCGTTTAAAAAAAATGGGGCCGTTTGTTCCAGTTCGTGTTAGGAGAATTTGCTAGCGCTAACTCCTACCGGCTCTAGCAATGCAGAGGGTATATTACCGCGTATTTACACGCTCCGGATTTACGCAGACACATGACGCAAAGAGCCATCGAGGCAAATCCTGTCCTTCCGTTTTCCGTTCTTCATCGCTCTCACTTTCTACCGCACGAAGTGCTTCGTGATACGTTAACCACCCCTTCGTAACGTTAAACGCATAGCTTTCTTCCTTCCCGCATTGGAAAACGATGAAAACGAAACGTTGTTAATCGTTTTAATTAAAAACGATCAACTTCGCTACCTATCGATCCCTTCGAGACACGAAAAAAAAGAAAAGTGACGACAAGGTGCAATTGATTGGTTTAAGTGTAATTGTAAGTTAAGATCGGTTACGAAATCCAATAAAATATAGTTTGCGAGAAACGACTAGTTGTGTAACAATTGAAACTTTTCTACATTCCGACCATTTTATTAACGTACGTATGTACGTGATTGTGCTGATTGAAACCAATTTGACGGAGGCTTATACTTTAAACGATTTTTGCACGAAATTATTTGCAACGATTAATCATTGTTGTGAGTTCTTAACTTAATTGTTATTAATTGCAATCTAATATTTATAGTTTACGAATTAAATATATAATTTTGTGATATTATTCTTTTATTATTTATAATGATATATGTAAACGTAATATGAAAATTTGCAAAATTCATTTGGTAGCTTCTCGTTCCCCGACAGAGAAGTCGTCGCTCGATGAGTTTACCGTCCATATGTCGACACACGGAAAAGACAATGACCCGTTCCGTAGTATCGTGCTGGCTGAAATAGTTAATACGAACCTCCTAAATCGAGCACAATAATAAATCATCAAATCGGAAGTAATGCTCAGAAGAAGACCAACCTACGCGAAACGTTATTTTAATGTATCTCTGTCATACTTATTCTTCTTATTTTTATTTTTTCCTGCTTCTTCGATGCTTCTTCGATATTTCTTCGATGCTTCTTCGATATTTCTTCGATGTCTTAGGATGTGGACAATGTGAAAAATAAATGTCATTTTTTCAAATCTTTCATACGATATTCATATTACTTCTACATAGGAAATTTTTGATAAGTTAAAATCGTAAACATTGGATTGATATCAAACGAAATATCGAAATGTTCGTCGATTATGATCAGTACGGAATCTCTAGAGACGTATTTTCATGGGGATCGCCGTATGATATACCTATTCGCGGTCATATCAATAAAATTTTCGAAGTGTGTCAGGGTGATAAAATCTATATGTGTGTATCATATCCCATCGTCCTTTGCGTGTACTCGCGTACGTTGCCCTTGACAATAATTCAATAGCATATTATTATACGCGAGTGCTCCTGTCTTCCCGACGCAATTTACCTTTTGCGTTTCACGCAGACATTAAAAGTCCGTGAGTGTCAATTTGCTTAAATCAAAGTTCGTGTTAAACCCATTAACGCCCACCGGGAAACTTTATTTGCCGGGGCCTAATAGACACTCAATTAAGATTTGGCTTATTTGAATATGTTTACTGACGAGTAAAATGGTATTCCTTTACTTAAACGCGCGAATAAAGGATAGAGTGTATTAATTCGTTTTGGTTAGACTGTCTTCTTTGAATTAACACTATTTCTACCACGATAAGGTGTATACGACCGAATTATTATTACGATCGAAAGATATCTTTTGACACCTTTGAGTTTGAATGCAAATATCTTGTTTAAAATTTATTTCTGTTTAATATTTTTTATTTTAAGATACTATAGAATTAATTCAACAACGATTATAGGAAAATTTATTAAGGAAAAACGATTAAACTAATGATAATAATATTAATCGTAAATTTCGACAGGTGTCGTTTGATATCTTCGGTAGAAATAGTGATAAGAAAGAAGAAAGAATTGTCTTTCTCTTTTTTGTAGATATGTACTATCCGATCAAAGAAATTAGAATTTAATTTTTCCAGAAACATACAAAATTAAAAAAAAGCAAACAATCAGATACCCACATTAGAAATATTATTTAATATATATGCTTTATAATACATATATTAAATATATGAATCAGCGAATAACAATGTACCAACATTTCTATACATATACATAAATATTTTTTAAATGAATCAATAAACTAATCGGTAAGAAAACGATCTTATTGAAAGAAAAAAAATGAAGAAAGATAGAAAGAAAGAAAGAAAGAAGGTAACCCTGAAGAACCGATGGCGTCAAAATAAATAAAAAGCAATAAATCAAATATCTTTATAAACATTGGATTGACCAATAAGTAATATAATAATTTGTATATATATGTGTCTGTGTGTGTATAGACAAATTATTAAAATTATATATGGACCGTTTTGTTCTATAAATTTTTTGCCATTACATAGGTAACTTCACAATACCATACATTCAAAATTTATCTTTTTCTGGAAAATAAATTCAGAAACATATACTTAAGTATTTCGCAGGCCTACATTTTTTTCCAATTAATCGAATATTATAACGAATGAAATAAATAAAAATTTCTGATGATGCCAAATCAGGTGAATATTCATATATTATACTATCAACGAATAAGTATCTATTAAAATTTCCTATATTCGTATACTTAAATACCTCTTAATCAAATTATTAAACTAATATCGATAAGACAATTGTCTTATCTAAAAAAAAATAAAGAAAGAGAGAAAGATATTAACGCGAAGAAGTAATGGCGTGTAAACGTGCGAGTCGCGAAAGAGTCGATCGAGTTTAGCGAGAAGGACAATAGGGAGTTTGGAAAGGTCGATGGTGAGGGGTCAGCGAGGTAGCGGCCGGGGCACGTTCCTCCTGTCAACGGAGGGTGATGGACACCTCTCACTGTGGGAGCCTACCAACACACAATTACATTACATATACATATTTACACCCACACGTATGCATGTATGACGTCGACGAACCACGACCATCCATCGAGCTTTTGAGCGCGCGTGCACGCGCTAGCTCAACAGACGCCATTGAAGAGAAGACCACCCCCTCCATTCCACACTCGCATCATCAACCTCTCTCTCTTTCTCTCTCTGTCTCTCTTTGGACTCTCCACGAATCGCCGCGAATCACTATGTTACGCCACGTTGACGATCGACGAATGACGTTGCGTGTGACGATCATGTTTTCACACGTGTACTTACTTCGTTCCTTTTTTTTTTTTTCCTATACCTTAAATTCTCCTTACAAAATCTTTAATCATTCAAGACAATTATTATCACCTTTTTCATTTTATTTTATTTTTTATAATAAGAATTATTCTTACCCTCACAAATTAGTTGTCACATTTGATATGTAATTGTTTATACCAATGTGACAATTAATTTGAAATTGAAAAAGTATATAGTAATAATAATACTATAGTGATGCTTTAATTCATCATTTTTTAAGTCAAATTCTTATAATATTATAGTATTGTAGATAAAAATGAAATTAGGTATCAAATACGTGACCCTACGTGACTATTCGTTGTTATTATACAATATTTATGACTGTGATATTTTTACAAATATGAATTATATAATAATAACAATAATATAATTATATTTGATTATTTGACTTATAGTATTTTGTACATCAAATATTTACAATAATATTGTATAGGAAAAGATGTAATTAGATATTAAATATGATTGTACGTGACTGTTTTTTTTTATTATGAGTTATTACTAAACTATTGATAAAATATAATTAACAAGTTTTTTTTTTTAAAATTTGCATTAAACTTACAGTTCTAATCAATACTTAAAACATAAGTTGTTAACTCATTTAGGAATAATTGATTTACTTGTCACTGATCGTCTCTAATCAATCGAACATTGAACCTGTCCAATATACCTCGTACTTTAGCGAACAAGTAATGGAGCTAGTCCTATCATTTGTTTTATAGTAATAGGGTCCTGACATACGGGTGTGTTACTCTATATGCAGGAGGGAAAAGTTACGAAATCATAGGGGTCAATGACTCGTGTCCTCCTTGTTATCATCACATTGCATGCATGTAACTATAGTCATTCATAACTTTATTTCGTGTAGTAAAAATAAATTTATCTGTCATTAAAATTTAATCAATATATATATATATATATATATATATATATATATATATATNATATATATATATATATATATATATGTTAGCGTTACTTTGTAAAATCCGTTATTTCGTCAAATGGTGCAACTCTGACGCAATTCTGACGCAACTCTGAAATAACTATACTGACCTTTTTAAATATAAAAGAAATCAGAATTACATACTTCAACTAGATAATGTATAAATTTACAAGAGTCGAGTAGTTAAAGTTTGAAATTGAAATTTGAATTTTAAATTAGATCTGATAGAACAGCTGTTGTTTAAAAAGTATGCCACATTTCAAAATAGCTGTTTAAAGACAATTTATAATTTTTTAATTCGGTAAAACAACTTTTGGGATATTCTGCATATAATAAATTCATAAAATAAAATGTGTGTGACAAATCATTAAATGCTTAGTACGTTAGAACAAAGTTGATCAGATATTTGGACATAGTTGACTGTTACATACCTTAAAAGAAATTGATCAGCAGATTAGTATTTATATATATTGGAATAAGGATTTTAACAGCATCGTGCATCCACATAGCTAGACCTGGTATGCGACAACAGCTGGTGGCCTTCAACGTCAACGACATTTTTTTATGTTGGGAGCCTCTTTGGTAATGTTGTATTTGGATGGATCGCTGACAAGTGGGGTAGAAGAACGGCCTTCTTCGCAATTCTCTTCTTAGAAGTTATCTTCTCGATCGCCACAAGTTTCAGTCCGAACTACGTTATCTACACGGCGTTGAGGACAGTGAATGGCCTATTTTTTCCTGCTATTTATCAGATACCTTTTATACTTGGTAATAAAAATAATTGTCTCTAGTATTTATTACTTTAATCACGATTATTATTTGATACGCTTTATATTTCTAGCTTTAGAATTAATGGGTCCAAGATATAGGACTTTTGCTGGTATGGTCATCTGTATGTTCTTCGCTAGTGCAATGTCACTTCTTGCACTTCTGGTAAGATTTTAAGTATTATATATTGCAAATGAGTTTTCATAGATAAACGTGTAATAGCTATTAGTTATTTTTATTCTTAGTATTTTCGCACGTAAAAACAAGATAATTTAAACTGAAACCCGTAAAACTTCGGAACAGAAGTTTTTTGAAGACATATAATAAAATTATATACAATTACTGAGCCAAGATTTATGATCGTTCCGAAGAATATTCCGCTGATTGGAATGCTCAACGAATATACATAAATCTTTCCAAGTAAATGAATAAATCTAACATTAAAAACGAATAACAGAACATCGTTTTGGTCTTTTTCTTAGGGTTACCTGTTAAGACATTGGTACACACTATCATTAGCCACTTCAGTACCCTTCGTACTTCTCTTCAGCTATTATTGGATCATTCCTGAATCTCCAAGATGGCTTCTAAGTAAGAACAGAATAGATGAAGCAGAGGTGATCGTCCAGCACATGGCCAAAGTCAATGGCAAAACAGTACCATCCAACTTCCTGAGGCAAATGGAGGTAATACCAAGATGGAAATAATGTTAATTACAATTTTTTACAAATATCCACTTGTCAGTTTTGATTTCCACTTAAAATAAGCAATCCAAAGATCGTCAGACATTTTTCGTAGACGTTTACGATGTTTCCAGGTTGAGATAATGAAGAGGCAAGGTATCTCTTGCAATGGCAAGAACACTGGAAACGTCGTGCTAGATGTTGAAGGGGAAAACAGGTCGCCACCACCTTCCGCAACACCAATGGACCTCATCAGGAATCCAAATATTAGAAAGAAATTCTTCATTCTTGCTTTTGATTGGGTTGCGAACGCTGTAGTTTACAATGGATTATCCTACAACACGACGAACCTTGGTGTTTCCGATTACTTGGCCTTCTTCATCGGTATAGATATCAACGTTGCTCTTTTTTCGATAACTCGTCCTTGGTAAACGATCGTGCTAGTTATCACGACGACGGCAGTCTGCCTGTAAATATGTTTTTATCATACGTCATTGCGGCTGATGTTGCCTGCATAATGCGATCGCGTCTTCAACGTCGACACACGCGTACCCGTCGCTTGATTGAAATGGACGCGAACCCATCTAAACGGTGAACGCACCGAGTAATATACAAAGGGGCTCACTGAAAATCAACACCCGAATGATAAACTATACGCTTTGTCGTTAAATTCTATTATTTGTTATTGCAACAAATTTTCTTATTTAGAATTAACCAAATCTCGAGATATTTCTACTTATTGAGTAAGGTCTAACTTCTTCATTTTATTACTAAATTATTTAGCAAAACGTCTATTAAATGCTAATAATATTATTAGGTGGATTCATAAACAAGGATCATTATAGAACTTTCTTAAAATGAAACAACAAATATTTATGAATGAACCTAATAATTATCTAGTTATTGGAATCTATTAAACTAATATCTTATATAGACAGTAAATATAAAATTATGATTATTAAGTTAATCAATCTTGTAATTGTCGGGATAAAGAGATGAGTAAATTCTTTGGCCATCATTAAAAAACTATTCTAATTAATCTTACAGGTGGTATTGTGGAAATTCCATCATACGTGATCACGTGGTACGCCATGGACAGGTTGGGAAGACGATGGGTCCTATGTTTGACAATGCTTCTAGGTGGAGTTGCCTGCGTCTCTTGCATGTTTGTACCCGAAGGTACATTTTTCAATAGCTAGATTTCAAATGTTCAATTTTTTCAATGAACAACTTACACTCGTTGACCTTTGTCACAGTAGACGCTGTCTGGGTGACGGTATGCCTGGCAATGATCGGAAAATTCGGGATTGCAGCTTCCTTTGCTGTTTTTTACGTGTTCGTTGGTGAACTTTTACCTACGGTACTGAGGTCACAAGCAATGGGAATCGCCTCTTTCATTGCTGGTATCGGCCTACTCACTTTTCCTTACATCGTCCATCTTGCTGTCTACTCCAGAGTTTTACCATTGATCATAATGGGTTCCTTGAGTGTGGCCGGTGCTCTCACATCCATCTTCCTTCCGGAAACACTCAACATACATTTGCCACAAACGATCGAGGAAGGTGAACTCTTTGGCGCCGATTTCAAACTGTGGTCCTGTCCAATGATACCAAAGTTAGTGTATTTTTTATCGAATGTATTTATGCGAATTGATTTATTTACTTGGGTTCATTTTATTATAATTTTGCAATAGAATAATGAAATATGATACTTTGTGAGTTTAAAATATTTTCCCATAGATCTTGGACCTTTGGATAAATTATTGTATTTGAACTTTAATTTTATAAATTCAAATGTGTAATAATATTTAAATCATAACAACTGTGTCTATATCAATTTAATTGTTAATCATGCGTATGCGTGTATCATTATATGATAAAATCTTCTTATTGTTAATATACTTTTATGATACTTTTAGGAAAGACGCTAAAAGAAAATCAGAAACCGTGCCGCTTAGATATCTGGTAAACGGAAAACCAGAAAGAATTGCGGCAAGAAAAATCGTAGAAGCAGAACAAGAAAGTCAAGAGGCGGAATTAATGAAACCATTGACAGATGATGTAGAAAAGGAGAAGGATGATGTAGAAAGAATGTCCGAGTCATCAAACGAAGAGACAGATCGTTTGAGAAAAATACAATGAGGAAGTTTTCCTTTATTTTCCGTTATTCCTAAAAGGATAAAGCTTCCTAATATTTCGTATTATAATTTGTCTCAGTATAGGCGCACACCGCATTGTGTATTTATTTTTCCATTTATAATGTATAATGCGTTTCATTTGTAAAGTCTGTCCTGTGTGCCTGTTCCAATTCTCGTTTCTTCACTATAAAAGGATCGATCGATCTGTCGATCATCATCGATACGAAAATCGATGTCTTTTGTTTTCAGAGTAAGAAACAAAGAGAGAACTGAAAGATCGTACGTTTAATGAAATAAAATTTATAAAAATTCAAAGAAAAAAAACTAGAGGGGCTTCGTGATATTATAATAATATATATATATATATAGTATTAAAACCGAAATGATTATTATTTATCGTAAATATTCTTGAAAATTTCTCGAAAGATGATACGGTTTGTTCGCGGAGTCGCTCGACGATTTAATTCTTTTATATATATATATATATATATATATATACGGGGTTTAATAATTAGCTAAACATTTTTCTACGTAAACGTAAAAGAAAAAAACGTTCTAACGACATCAGCTCTTCATACGAGTTTTTTGTTTTTTTTGTCATTACACGTGTATAGAGACATCATAGATCGTTAGATGAATAGTTAGACTTCGCGATAAATAAGGAAAAATTCTTTTTAAGAACTTCGATTCACATTAACATTTAATATACATAGCTCTTCGTTTTTGTCTATATTAAAAAGTGTGATAAGTTTAATGTTTAAGGACATTTTTCAACATTTACAAGTCGCTCCAAGAGCGATTATCAGCACGAAAAATAAACTTCTCCTTGCATTGTTCTTTTTTACAACATCGAATGGACCAAATCGAGATTACAACGCGAGGAGAAAGTCGTCAAACGAACGAGCTATTTTCGATACTCTTCAATTGTAATACTTAAAGCGAGAATACATGAGAAGAAACCTAAATACCCGTTGTATAAAATCATTAAAAAACTCAACGAATCATACCGACCATCTCGTCCATGGAATCCTTTTTTTTCAAATTATCGTCGCTAAGGAGAAACAAGCAGTCGTCTGTTTGTGTTTAATCTGTCATTTCCACGACACCTATTCGTTCCTTGTGTTTCCTATCGATCGAACATCTCCGGGACCATTCTCGAAAAGAATATCGTCGAATTACTCGACACCATCTTTTTCAACCCTTAAAGTGTGATTCATTCAAAATTATAAAATGCGTGAAATTGTGCATATTCAAGCTGGCCAATGTGGCAATCAAATTGGTGCCAAGGTTTGTCATTTAAACCACTAAAATTATAATAATTTATATTTTTATATATATTTCTAAACATTAGCTTAAAGTTATCACTGACATATAAACTTTTCCTAAAACATACTAATCGGATTACCAACAATTTATAAGGTGTATTTTACTTTTATCGAATATAACCTCAATTTAACGTATTGTCAATCTCTGAATAAAATTCTATTGACAATTGTTAATAAACAACTGTACCTATCACGTGACAAAATCGATTTTTACTAATTTATAGTTTTGGGAAGTAATATCCGATGAACATGGTATCGATAACACTGGCACTTACCATGGAGATTCGGATTTACAATTAGAACGGATCAATGTTTATTACAATGAAGCTTCCGGCCCCAAATACGTTCCTCGAGGGATTTTAGTCGATCTTGAACCTGGTACAATGGACTCTGTACGTTCCGGCCCATTCGGACAAATTTTTAGACCAGACAATTTCGTTTTTGGTCAATCAGGAGCCGGAAATAATTGGGCCAAGGGTCATTACACCGAAGGAGCAGAATTAGTAGATTCTGTTTTGGATGTAGTGAGAAAAGAGGCAGAAAGTTGCGACTGTCTCCAAGGTTTTCAAATGACGCATTCTTTGGGTGGAGGAACCGGATCAGGCATGGGCACCCTATTGATATCAAAAATTCGTGAAGAATATCCTGATAGAATAATGACGACTTTTTCTGTGGTACCATCACCCAAAGTATCTGACACAGTCGTCGAACCCTACAATGCTACATTGTCCGTTCATCAACTCGTTGAAAACACTGATCAAGCTTACTGCATCGACAACGAAGCACTCTACGATATCTGTTTCCGTACTTTGAAACTATCCACACCTACTTATGGTGATTTAAATCATCTAGTGTCTGCTACCATGTCCGGCGTGACTACTTGCTTAAGATTCCCGGGACAATTGAATGCTGATTTGAGAAAACTGGCTGTCAACATGGTACCCTTTCCACGTCTTCATTTTTTCATGCCAGGTTTTGCACCTTTGACATCTCGTAGTAATCAGCAATACAGAGCTTTGACCGTACCTGAGTTGACTCAACAAATGTTTGACTCAAAGAATATGATGGCTGCCTGTGATCCAAGACACGGAAAGTATCTTACCGTTGCTGCTGTTTTTCGTGGTAGAATGTCAATGAAAGAAGTAGACGAACAAATGCTTAATATTCAGAACAAAAATAGTTCATATTTTGTCGAATGGATTCCGAATAATGTGAAAACAGCTGTGTGCGATATACCGCCACGTGGTCTTAAAATGTCAGCAACTTTTATTGGAAACTCAACGGCCATTCAAGAACTTTTTAAGAGAATTTCTGAACAATTCACAGCGATGTTCAGAAGGAAGGCTTTTCTTCATTGGTATACCGGTGAAGGAATGGATGAAATGGAGTTCACCGAAGCTGAGTCAAACATGAATGATTTGGTATCTGAATATCAACAATATCAAGAAGCTGCGGCTGAAGACGAAGGTGAATTCGACGAAGAAGAGGAGATGGAATATAAATAATATATAATAAAACCTAAAGATTTTTGAATGATCCCGATCGAATAGGAAAGCAAGGAAGCGGTGTCGAATAGACGAAAAAACATTTGATATTCTTTTCTATTTCGATATGTACTTTACTTTTATTATTCGTTTACTTTACTTTATTTATTTTTGAACTTGAACAAAAAAATTTATGAGTTTTTATATACGATTTTTATAGAATTGTACAAGAATTGTTAATCTAATAGATTCTTTATTTCCAGTATAATTGACGTTTTATTCATTTATAAAGAAAATCTACGAGAAAGGTAAGAATTTATTCGCGTGAATTAATTAACTTGAGATTTAATGATCCGATTCATAATATTTACGTTTAAATTGCTACACAATATAATAATCTTAGATTTATAATATAAAATTTCAACGCGCTTAAGTACTTTCAATGTTGATATCTTGAGCAAGTTAACACGAATCAAAGTCGATATTTTAAATATGCCTATTAAATATAATAATTGAGTAATCACATGGGCATGCATTCATGTGACCAACACTCGAACGTTTACCGCGGCTCGCTATCGAACTCTTTATCGTCCTTCTGGTCAACTGGGATTGATCAAGCCAAGGCCTTGACAAAAATTGGTAATCACGTATTATCTCGTCGGAGCCCGAGGACAAACACTTTATTATTGCGTATCACGGAGATCATAGTTCGTTGTACGTCTACATAGAAAAAGAAAGTGCAATCGTATCATTTCGTTCTATTACTTTATATTTTAGCTTTGCGATCAATAAATCTTTGCATATCATTTCTGAGACAATATTTTTTAATCTTAACATTGCATTTTATTTAAAGAATTATTTAACAATAATCGAGAAATTCATCTTATTTTGATAGAATTTTAAATACTTTTATAAACGATTATTTCACAAATTTAATATTGTTACTGCACAAATTATAAACAAGTAACACAATATTATCTGAATCATGCAACAAAAGGATGGAACCATTTTGAAACATACGTAAAATTTCGGTCACAAAATTAAAAAAAAAGTTATTATTCGTTATTAAAATTTTAAGTGACATTTTCTATTACAATCTTCAACAATTTTCATTGAAAATCGCGATGAGAGAAATTGTACACATCCAAGCAGGACAATGTGGAAATAATGTTGGAACAAAAGTAAGGTTACCTTTATTTCTATCACTTGCATTTTTATATTAATAGAATTTTTATTATTTTTGTATTTTTATCAACGCTCAAATCATCTCCTAAGTTTTGGGAAGTTATTTCGGACGAGCATGGATTAACACCTGATGGAATTTTTTATGGCGAATCGGATCTGCAATTGCAGCGCATAAATGTGTACTTTAATGAAGGACCTCGTACTGTTAATTCATCAAATAAAAATTGAACATTATCAATATCATTAACACTAGATTTACGAACATTGATCTTATATCAGTTTTTATTAAAACCCGTCATATTAATATTCAAAATGTATTAAATGTATTTTCATTATAACATTTGTTCATATTTTTACACCAATCACAGTCAATATAAATTGACAAAAAATAAAATTAATGAATTATGTAACCTTGAGCATGAAATTTCAAATCCGCCAAATTAATGGGTTCTGTAGATCTAGTGTTAAGTATGTACAGTTTATCAAAAGATAAACTAGATCTTATATTTTTTCAATTCTTGTATTCTGCATTTCTAGATGACAAATTTGTACCTAGAGCAATTTTAGTCGATCTCGATCCAGGTAGTTTAAGTGCCATGTTATCCGGTCCATATGGTAGACTGTTTAATCCGGATAGTTTTGTAGCAGGCCAAGCTGGGGCTGGTAATAATTGGGCTAAAGGTTTTTATACCGAAGGTTCTGAATTAGCTGATATAGCTTTGGATCTCGTTCGAAAAGAGGCTGAATCTTGCGATTTAATGCAAGGTATCGAAATTTAGTTTAATACTAAAATAAGATTTAATAAAGCAAAATAAAAAAAACTTTAATATTATCAGGAATTCAATTAATACATTCTCTTGGTGGTGGCACCGGTGGAGGCATGGGTTCCCTTTTGTTACAAAAATTAAAAGAAGAATACGTAGATAGAATAATAAAATCTTATGCCGTATTACCAGCACCAAAAATTTCAGACGTTGTTGTTGAACCCTACAATGCTATTTTATCTCTTTACTATCTCATAGATGGCAGTGACGAAACTTTTTGTATGGATAACGAAGCCCTACATTATATTTGTACCGAAACCTTGCAACTCGCCTCTCCTACTTACAGTGATTTAAATCATTTGATATCCAGTTGCATGGCTGGCATCACTACATGTTTCAGATTTCCTGGACAACTGAATACCGATTTAAGAAAACTTTTAGTAAACATGGTACCTTATCCAAGATTACATTTTTTCATACCTAGTTACGTACCTCTGACGTCAAGAAGAGTGGCTCCTTATAGAGTACTTTCGGTACCTGAATTGACTCAACAAATGTTTGATGAAAGAACAATGTTTGCTCGTTGCAATCCAAAACAGGGTAGATTTTTAACAATTGCTGCAATTTTTAGGGGTAGAATGTCAACTAGAGTTAGTATTCATTAATTTTCTTTGTCTTTAGTTTCATCAAATTTAACTAATAATTAGATCTTGTTATAATTTTAGCATGTAGATCAGCAAATGTTAAACATTCAAAATAAAAACAGTTCTTATTTTATCGAATGGATACCGAATAATATAAAAACAGCGATCTGTGATATTCCACCACGTGGAATTAGCATGAGCGCGACTATGGTAATGAACACCACAGCTATTCAAGAATATTTTAAAAACGCATTAAATACCTTTAATGGAATGTTTCAAAAGAAGGCTTATCTTTATTGGTACACCGACGAGGGAATGGAATTATCCGAGTTTTCAGATGCTCAGAACAATGTTTATGATATCGTTTCAGAGTATCAGCGGTATCAAGAGGCACCTGCTGAAACTGATTTCGAAGAGGAAGAAATAATTTATCGTGATTAACATAATTTCAAGTACAGTTATGACTGAAAATTCATTAGAAATGAAAGAAAATTATTATAAATAATAATATACTAATTCACACACAAAAAAATGATTATATCATTTGTATAAACTCTTTTACTTATCTTTGAAACATTATCGGTATTGTTTATATTTTCAGTAAAAATGTAAAAATAAACTCAAATAATCTTATTCTTTTATTACAAGTATTATATTTTAATCGACTTTCTTTTACAATAATAATGAAACTACTAACGCAGTTCGAACGAATACGAATTTTTTTCTTTCGGTGATTTTATGTATATTTGTATCGCAAAGTGATCAAGAGATTATATAATATACACCTACGCGTTTCACCCTACAAATTGATATTCCTTAAAGAAAAAAAAAGATCTAGTTTCGCTGATAAAAAATAACAAATTATTTGAAGTATACAAACTACTAGACAGGAAAAAATTAAGATAAGCATTGTCGATGTACGAGAGACATAGTTCTTAAAAAATTGTATATTTCTTGTTTTTTAATATAAAAAAAACCGTAGTACGCTCTAAGCATTCATCAGAGTTAAACGATGCTTGCGAACATTTATTTAAAAATACAAGATGAAAATAGAAATAGAGTAAGAGAGAAAGAGAAAGGGAAAGAGAAAGAGAAAGGGAAAGAGAAAGAGAGAGAATAAAAAAGGAAAGAGCATACTTTTCGTTCCTTATTTTTTTTGATAAAATCGTTTTAGCGTTCGATCGGTAAACGAAGAACGATGGCATCGGCATTTATATAAACCTCGTATTTTATTAAAAATCCGTTGCACATTCGAAGTTTCTTTGAAAATAAATACATTAATGAATTATTAAATGGACACAAATTAGTGTTGTGTTCGATCGATCGATAGATTCGAATACACAAAATATATATATATATATATATGTAAAATCTTAAGTATATATAGCATTGGTTCTAAACATTATTATATTCGACCACTCCGAGATTACCGTGAATAAAACGTACGTTTTTGAAAGGATTATTTCGATCGTTTGTATTTGAAACGTACGTAATCGTATAAAAATATCAAAAAAAGTATCGCGATTGACATTTAAAAGTATCGAAAGGTAATCAATCCGTTAGACATTTTTACATTTTCATTCGAAAAAATAGGAGTGTGAAAAAGAAAGGAGGAAAAATAGAAGGGGAGGATTGAAGATAAAAAGATGATCGGAAAAAGATCGGAACACTCGCATTTTATTCCTCTTCGCATGGCTCAAAATCGTCAGCGCATTCTTCTTCGGCTTCAAAATCTTCTTCCGCCGTAGCTTCTTGATATTGTTGATATTCGGAAACTAAATCGTTCATGTTCGATTCGGCTTCGGTAAATTCCATCTCGTCCATACCTTCTCCCGTATACCAATGCAAGAATGCTTTTCTCCTGAACATGGCAGTAAACTGTTCAGAAATTCTCTTGAATAATTCTTGAATAGCCGTGGTATTTCCAATGAAGGTCGATGACATCTTCAAACCTTTAGGTGGTATGTCACAGACAGCCGTCTTCACATTATTCGGAATCCATTCAACGAAGTACGAGCTGTTCTTGTTCTGTACGCTAAGCATCTGTTCGTCGACTTCCTTCATGGACATTCTACCACGGAAGACAGCAGCAACGGTCAGATATCTTCCATGTCTGGGATCACAAGCAGCCATCATGTTTTTAGCATCAAACATTTGCTGTGTAAGCTCGGGTACCGAAAGAGCAGAATATTGTTGCATTGATCTAGACGTTAGAGGTGCGAAACCAGGCATGAAGAAATGAAGTCGCGGGAAGGGTACCATGTTGACAGCCAATTTTCTCAGATCAGCATTCAATTGACCAGGAAACCTTAAGCAGGTTGTTACACCAGACATGGTAAGTGATACCAGGTGATTTAGATCGCCGTAACTAGGATTGGAGACTTTCAATGTACGGAAACAGATGTCATAGAGAGCTTCGTTATCGATGCAGTAAGTCTCATCGGTATTCTCAACCAATTGATGAACAGATAGAGTCGCATTATATGGTTCTACCACAGTATCGGAGACTTTTGGCGATGGCATCACCGAATAAGTGTTCATAATCCTATCAGGATACTCTTCACGAATCTTAGATATCAGAAGAGTTCCCATACCGGACCCAGTACCTCCTCCAAGCGAATGGGTTAGCTGAAAGCCTTGGAGACAATCGCAATTTTCGCATTCTTTCCTCACAACGTCGAGAACCGAGTCTACCAATTCAGCTCCCTCGGTGTAATGACCCTTTGCCCAGTTATTACCGGCACCAGACTGCCCGAAGACGAAATTATCCGGTCTGAACAACTTCCCGAACGCTCCGGATCGTACTGCGTCCATTGTACCAGGTTCCAAGTCAAGAAGGATAGCTCGGGGAACATATTTTCCACCATTCGTTGATGTGGCCACTGTAACAAAACAAAGAATCTAATCAAATTTTCATTCAAAGTTTCAAACTTAATTTTAAACTCCTACAATAATGTATCTTATTGCATTTATATATATAACAATCCTTCGTTAAAATAAAAAAATCAATATTTGCTAAATTATAATTACACTACAATTTGATAATATAATTTCTTTTTAAGTATGAAAATAAGTCACGAGGTTTAACAACGATTTACTAATCTTATTCCTAATAAAAATCTTCTATTAATTAATTTCTAAATCTAACACACACGTGAATTTTATTTATTAAATGAGTCATCGAAAATTACGATCTCCATATTGAACTACAGACGTCTATTATTATTCCACCGAAAACTCCTATCAGAGACTTTAACGGCCGACGGAAATGCGTATACGGTTGGACCCGCGTGCCTGCATCGTTTGCAAATGAGTCATTGGTCGATCGCGTGCGAGATATATAGGGTGACTTTTTTTTCGTCATTTTACGCATAAAATTGCGAAGAAACATATTTGTCATATAAAGACAGAGAAAGAAATAGAGCTAGTCTATTATTCAAAATGGAGTATTCTCGGAACGACGCACGCAGTCATGGGGACACATGTCCGTATCTATCTTGAATTATAAATCATACATTTGCAAGGAACAACTTCCCCTAAGTTTGCTCCAGGTGCATGCACTTCTGAGAAAGCACACGTGCGATTTATCGAATGGGAAACTCTTCCATTGACTGATTAGACCTGCATGTACACGTTACGTGACGTGACTGCGAGCGATACGAATGTCGAATCCCTTCAAAACAAAATAATATAGTTAGATATCTTTGTTCGAATCTATACTTGGGACGAAATGTTGGAGTAAAAGTAAAATGAAAAAAAAAAATTCAAAACAATAGAACAAATTATTGGCGGGTGACATTTAATTATAAATGTATTTCGCGTAAAAAAAATCTTGACTAAATCAATTAAATAGAAAAATGATTCGTTTCCATTTAGAAAATTATTCCGTGTAATAATCGAAGAGTACAAGGTATTACATGTTTTAGATTTTAATTTCGCAGATTTAAACACAACGAGTTTTTCGTTAGTTCGTTACCCATCATTATCGTGAAATATGTAATTAAAGGATATTACGTTTATAATGGGCGCATTAACATGTAGAATCTTACATGAACGAAGATTATCTTTCGAAGATATCTGAAGAAACCGCTGAGTTTCTCGTCCAATATAATTATTTAAAGTTAATTTAGATAAAGACTTTGATTCAGTGAGTAGGTATACGTGTTAATAGTAAATCGTGTTAAATACACTTCCATTCCTTCGTTTCTCATTTGATAATGTGAAATTTTTAGTAATTAAATTCCATTTGTTACGGTGCATAAAGTCATAATTATATCTTATGAGTAGTATGCAACGTTTTATCGACCTTTCAAGGGGATTATCTCAAAAAAGGTATATTAACAACATTTTTAATGTTATCGACTGTTAATAAATAATCATTAATTTGTAATGAAAGATAAGAGAAGCGTAAATATTAAACGATACTTGAAACTTTATCAATTTCAAATAAAACGTAACATATTATGGGACTGAAAAATAATTAACGAAAGGAAGTTTAATCTCCTTTTAAAATGCAAAGACTCGTTCAGCATACAACAAATAAAAACTTTATGAATAAACATGATGAACGTTCGATCGATCGACGTCACGTAGCAAATTTGGTGAATGAATTGCGAATATTCAGAGAGGTTGAACCGTTTTAGCCGACGTCTTTAAATAGATATCCAACTTTTTCCTTTCGCTTTGTGCCTGATTTCGAGTGAAGCTCCAATTAATTTAATTTATCGTGATTTAAAGAAACAGACATATCAATTGATTTCTAATTGTCTCGTTAGCGGCTGAAAGAAAAAAAATGTATTAAAATGCGTTCTTTAATTAAGAAACACATCGTTACTTTGCTCTTGTCAATCTTTCGGAATACATTTAATTTAATTTAATTTAATTATGACAAGATTAAAGTAACTATTAATTTGATAAGAAGTTATCACTGATTAAATAATTTTATATCTATCGAAGACACTTGATAAATCTTATTGTAAAAAATGAACACACGTATATATACTGTTATTTTAAATATCCGATGAGCAGTTAGATTGGACATCCTGTAAGCTGATACGAACGGAATAACCATGAGGAGATTAGTTTGCACATGTACATGACCGTATTACAAATGTCAAATATTTGTCATGATTTTCCACATACTTCCTTGCTTATTTGCAATTATGCTTAATAAAAATGTATAATTTAAAATCAATAGCAATCTATTAGAATCAGAACTTAGAATCAAATTTTATACAATATAATAGCTATCAAAAAAAAAAAATATATTAACAAAATTTATAATAATTATTATTTCAATAAATAATAATAATAAATGTATGAAAAATAAATCTATTTAAAATATCTTTCATCGACAAAAATAAATACTCAATGAATAAATCCAAGAAAGTAGAAAAAGGAAATAAGTTGTATAGCGAGTGCCTTGGAGCAAGAAGGGCAAATAAAAAAATATAGAAAAAGTTGACGATGGGCGTCGGCAGGCGTCGGCAGGCGTCGTCATCCTCGTCGAGACTGCCAACCATGGGGTGAAAACGTACAAAGCATCTATTTCGGTCGTTAAATACTGGCGAGAGCGTTCCTCCCGTTCAGTTTTTTTTTTCCATTCCACGTACAAATATAAGTATGTATGATGTGTATGTATATATATATAAATATACATGTGTTTTTATAGAAAAGCAACACAAGGCAACTAACTTTCGACTTTCTGCTTAGTTTCTATTTTAACGAACGATTACTAATTGTAAGAGACAAGGAAAAATGGATAAAGATCTACTTTATTGAAAAGAAAAAGCAATTTTTATTAATAATTTTAGACCACTCATCAATCGATATAAAATAATGACGATTATCCTTGATACTAATATAATATAATTGATCCAATATATTGTTCTTTCTTTTTTTATATATATTAAAATAAAATGTTCAATGATAATGTGCAATCATATCTTGTAGTGTAAATTGATTACAAATATTTTTGTCTTTGACAATTTGATTATAATAATTAATGAGATAGTTTTGTTAAAGAAAAGCAATGTATTATGATAGAAATTTATTGATCTAGATTAATATGGAAAAAGAAGAAAAAAGGAAAATGATATAAGAAAAGATATGATAGTTTCGCTTACCGGTAGCCTCATTGTAATAAACGGAGATTCGCTCGAGCTGCAGATCGCTATCTCCATGATAAATACCGGATTGGTCGATACCATGCTCTTCGGAGATCACTTCCCAAAACTACAATTAAATTTATTATTTAATAAACGATTTTTTATTTGATATAAAAGATGATTATATATATATATATCATTTGTACAAATTTATTTTACGTTAACGTTTAAGAAAACGTATGAAAATATTTTGTCTTTTAATTATTGATTAAATGACGAAATACTTGTATTGAAAGGAAATAAGTTATACTAAACACTTAATAATAATAATTATAAATTAGATTCTCTTTTTCCGGTTCACTGACAAGGATAACAGAGAACTCTAATCTAAAAATAGAAACGCACGAAATTAACGCGGGCCATGCCCCCTGGCTCGTGCTCACCCTCCCTTAAACATTTTCACTTCTCCATTTGTCCGGCGTCTTAACTATTTTCACCCTTCTATTAATAGCTGGCCGCAACGTCTGCGACATCCTCAGTGAGCCAAAGAACCTACGAAAATTCTACTTGCGTACTGTGACTTTCACTTCCAATCTCGGCAGATATACGTGTAACACGATCCTTTATGAATATTTTATGAATATCGTGTCATGAATAATACCCAAAGCCTTTTATCTTTCCGAAATTGTATATTTCGGTTCAAAAAGATCAAATGTAAAATAATCATGATATCTGTGAATGAGCAGAAAAGTGACGTCACAATAAAAATACAAAAATTAAATAAATCATAAATTATTTAATTTGTTATATTGTGGAATTTTAGAGAGATATTTGTCATGAAACAAATATTACTTTTATCATAAAACTATGATAAAATATCTTCTTTATATACCAATCGTCAGTTATTTATTATTTCTTTGAAAAATAACATTACTATTCCTTGATAATGTCAACTAATAGTACCGTTACCTGCCAAATTAAACTTGAGAAACCACGAAAGTAAGTAAGTACATACTTGAAACATAAAATAACCAAACCGTAAAGCTAATAGAAAAGGCAAACATAATTACACGAAAGAAGGTCTCTTCGCGGAAAAGCTTAAGAGTTACTTCGACTCGTCACGCTCATCAAATTCGCCACAATTTTCTAATGTCACGGAAGAAAGTATAATTCATTGTAAAAACAAGAAAAAAAGAGGAAAAAAAATTAATTTTGAAAATTTGAAAGAATAGTGTCAAACTAAAAAGTGATTAACACTTAGCACACAGTGATATTTCTATTTCGAATACCGTAACCGGTCGTGGCCTGTAATTTATCTCATACTTCCCCGTACATATCTCGTTTTAATTTTGTATTTTTCTTTTTTCTGTTCTCCCTTTATTTTTCCTCGGTCTACCACAACGTTTCGTCTATCTTCTTAGACGCCTGCGGTCGAGTGATTTCTAGAACGATATTTCGTTTATCCAAGACCAACGTCGAGTTGCTCGAGTTATTAGCTTGAAAGATAAAGAGAAAAAGAGAGAAAGAGAAAGAACATGAGAGATTATAGCTCGTATTATACAAGTTCGATTGGCCAGGCACACTGTGGCTTTTCTTCTCGGTAGACGAGATCGTTAAATTCTTCCATGCGGAAAACAATGGTGGCCGATCGACCGCGTGTTACTTCCACGACGACGAAGAACCCTATATTAGAGAGAAAGAAATAGAAAGAGAAAATAGTAAGAGATAATAAAACTTTCATTTCTTCTCTTGCTATCGTCCAAGCAAACCAAACTTCTCTCTCTGTCTCTCTCTTTCTTTACGATCTATTTCTTTTACAGAATTACAAACTCGTTCCTATTGATTGAAATTAGTTAGCCATTGTATAGAAACGAGAATGCTTAATATCTTTCTATTATTTCATAAAAATTTGATTTATAGTGTAACAATCGATTCAATCAAGCCCAAAAATTAGATATGAACTCATTTTAATTTTCTCGAGAGGAATCTACTCTTTTATAATGAACCTCTTTATTACAAGACTAATTAATATAAGTGGAGCGTACAATTTATTTTATTTATTATAAGTTGAACTTCTCTCGAAAGAAAGAAAAACAAATATTTAACGTGTGCGTTTTCATTTTAACAATGAATCATCGTGAAAAGTTTTATATACAGCTCCTATATTTTTACTGATAATTCAATTAATTGATTAATTTATTTTATAATTATATTAAATT